GTCCGTTATCTAACTACTCTTAGGTTGCTGGGCCAATCTCAACCAAACTTTGTTGGATAATAGTTTTGAACAAGAGACATGTTAATAGGTGGTTCACAACCCCTCCACCCTCCGTTATTGCTGTTATTTAGCATTTATTATCTTTGACTTAAGTTAACGTTAACTACATTCATAGATGGCGCTACATCCTTACACAAAAACTATATTAAGTTTTCTATAAAACTACATACACACAGTGTGAGGGTAGCGCACTATCACTCTATACGGAAGAAAACAATGAAAGAAATGGCCGCCAATACTGCAATACTCCAGAAACTCAGCTGAAGTTTCTACTCCAACAGCCACCATAAGGTTGATATAAAGAGCCGTTTCTTGAGTTATACCCACTTCCTACTCTGACCCGTGACATTTCAACTTCAGCCAGTAACACACTTCCACATGAAGAACTGGGTGTTGAAATCTGGTAACAGAAAGCACCCCTACCCTCACTACTTTTCCGATACCTCTCCCTACAAAGTTACCCTGACCCTCCCACAGTGTATACCATGTTTTAAATATATACATAGTGAGTTCTTAAAGCTTATACAAAACCTTTTGGTGAGGTAGTAATGAACACTGTAATAATATGTTATATTATAAATAAATTGTGTGAAAGTTAGGATGTTTGTGTTATTTATGATAGCATCCATTCACACATTTGTTATAAAGTTTGTACCCCAAAAGACGGATACCTCAGCTTGCATTTGATGAAAGAAGTAAACTTGGTATGGATAAAACAGATTTATATAATACTTGGCAGTAACATCTATTTAGCATATATTTCGTTATGTAGTATCAACTAAGACTGGTCTCATTACAAGTCATATTATCTCTTGTTATTTCGAATTTTACATACCTTACAAGTATACCAGAATTAAATTCAGACTGGTTCTATTATAAGTCAGTACATCTGTTATTAATTGGATTTGTAACGTATATATATCTGCCAGATATCAAGTGAGTATACGTATATTATATACCTGACACCTGAAATCTAACAATACTGTGATATAACAATGTTGTTTACAAATTAAGTGCCAATGTATTACAGGTGTTTCGAGTTTGAGGCCACGTTCCCACAAAACTCCTTGCTTACAGTGCAGATCTTTGACTGGGATCTCCTTGGAAGCGATGACTTGATTGGAGAAACCAAGATAGACCTGGAGAACCGGTTTTACAGTCGCCACCGCGCCACCTGTGGAATAGCTCAGCGATATGAAACGTAAAACGATACAATTTTATTTATGTGACATCATTATTATAATATTTAGAATACATTAATTAATCACTTTTTACCAAGGTAGATTACTGAAGTTTTTCATAATAGAATTAATTACAGACCACAAAAAGAAAACTCAGTTGTACAGTATTTTCCTAAAACAGATTCAATCAGCTCTCTGCCATGTTTTACGCATTCTTGCAAACTTAGCGCCTTTACTGGATTCGGGCATTGATTTAAAATGTTATTTTAAAATATTACAAACCACATAATATTATGTTATTCCTTTTTCGGTTTTCAAAGTATGCAAATCTAGACTCTTAGTATAGAAATAGTGGTCCTACCAAAACATTAAAGACAATGCAGGTTAGTTTCGGATCTTACAGCCAGTTGTTATGGGCATTAAATTGAATTAGAGGTTCGATTCCGTAGAGTCCAACAACGAGTTTTCTTCACAGGTCCGGGCCTAACCAGTGGCGGGATCCCATGAAACCAACACAAATTCTAACTAAGCTCTGTAAGGACAACAGACTGGACGGACCACATTTCATGCATAACCGAATAACCATAGGAAACCAAGTTTTCACTTTCCGTGTTGAAAATGAAGATGAAGGTAAGCATTTCTTGATGAACACTTGTATTTTATCAATTAATATCAATGAACTGTAGATAATCATTTCTAGATGAACACGTGCATTTTATAAATTAATATCAATTAACTGTAGATAAACATTTCTTGATGAACACTTGTATTTTATAAATTAATATCAATAAACTGTAGATAAACATTTCTAGATGAACACTTGTATTTTATAAATTAATATGAATTAACTGTAGATAAACATTTCTAGATGAACACTTGTATCTTATAAATTAATATCAATGAACTGTAGATAATCATTTCTAGATGAACACGTGTATTTATAAATTAATATCAATAAACTGTAGATAAACATTTCTTGATGAACACTTGTATTTTATAAATTAATATCAATGAACTGTAGATAAACATTTCTAGATGAACAAACGTATCTTATAAATTAATATCAATGAACTGTAGATAATGTTAATTTACTGTAGATGAACATTTCTAATCATATTTATATATCTTATAATACATGATGTACTTCACAGATCTATACTTCTGTATACACTCAACCCTCCCTTACTATATGGTGACATCAGCAATACTTTCCTAGTCCTACATATATTTTTAATGAAATATAAAAAGCTTACCTCACACACACACACACGTTAGTCTTTTAATTATTAAGACATCATGACCTACTAGCAGCCTAAGATGTGCTCCTCCTGTTATAAAAAAATATCAAACTTTACACACATGGTAAGATTACAATAATAATAATATTCGTATTATTTTTCTAATTATTGAAATTGCTAATTTATAAACAAGACTTGTTTCATTTCTAATGTGTAAAGTAGTTTTGTTTCATTCGAGCATATACATTTTATTTGTAAAATCAAACCAAATCATCCATTCGTGTTTTGATATCAACAGGTACAAGGGTTAGTGAAGAACATACAGCACTCGCTGTTCTCCATCGCTGGGATCAAATTGTGAAAATTGGATACAAGTTAGTTGAGGAGCATGTGGAAACAAGGCCACTGTACCATCCTGATAAACCAGGTATCGAACAGGTAGATGCCATTATTATTCTGTACAAGGTTATTACTTGATGTGTTGTACCACCAGGTATTAAACAGGTACATATCTCCATTATTCTGTACAAGGTTATTACTTGATGTGTTGTACAACCAGGTATTAAACAGGTACATATCTCCATTATTCTGTACAAGGTTATTACTTGATGTGTTGTACAACCAGGTATTAAACAGGTTGATATCTCCATTATTCTGTACAAGGTTATTTATTACTTGATGTGTTGTACAACCAGGTATTAAACAGGTTGATATCTCCATTATTCTGTACA